TAGACAGATCACAAGCAGGGGAGGGGCAGAAAGAGAGGGAAAGAGAGAATCCCAAGCAGGCTCCACAATCTCAGCGCAAAGCCACAAACCGTGAGATCATGACCTGAACCAAAATCAAGAGTTGGATGCTTAACTGACTGAGCCACCCAGGCACCCCTGTTAATATAGTCTTACCGATCGACTAGAAGCTAAAGGCTGATCACTCAACAGTAATTGGGTTCCTTCAATGGGTTAGGCATAAGCCATAGCCTAAGTATTATTTCCTGACATATTATTTCATTTGATACTGAACGGTAGATAAGAACCTTTCCATTTAACATTCACTTATTTTCTCAGGAACTTATAATCCTTATAGGAAAACAGTGACGACCCAGATAACTCAAGGCATACAGTTGTTAAGAAGACCTGTCTCTAATCAATAACTACGTGCTCTTTTTACTGCCTTTTTCAAGAATAGTCTGATTTTAAAGATTAGGTAAAATGGTCCAGCTTAAGATAGCATCTAGCTAGCAGCCCTTTTACAACTTCTCTTAACATCCCCCAAATTCACGTCTCAGAACAGAGATTATATAACAATGTTGAAATTACGTAGGACTGTTGCCCTATCACCAGAATGTGGAAGGATTTGTACTAAATTAAAAAATAATAGAACATGGATTATGCAACAAAATTGCTGTCCTGTTAGTGCTCTGCTTAAGGAATTATGCAAGCCTATCTTCCTGAAGGTAGGAAGGCCCCTTAGTCCCTTCTCAGCATCTGCTTCCTTTTACGAAATTAGTGCCCATTTATACATTAGTGTATACATTTGGTATCCATTAGGGAAGTGATCCTATGCTATTCCACCACTTGTTCCTTGAGAGGCCAAAATGTCTCTTGGTTCCCTCTGTGGTACTTACTTCCATTCTAGATCTAGCAAGAGATGGCAATGTCTAGAACCTAATTAAGAAGGCATTTGTGGAACAGTAGTTTATAAAGTTGAAGTGCGTGCTGTGAAGTGTTTCCAGGTCAGAGCGCGGAAGTGTTGGGGTAAGCAGGGCGGGCTTGGGCTCAGAGTCCTCAGTGTACTATGTGCGACGTGGCTCCTGGCTGGGGGTAAGAGGGTAAACGGTTATTCCTGAGCCTCATTCACTGATGGGCACTGAGAGTGCTGACAGCAGTTCATATTTACTGAGCATGAGTATGTGCTTATCCCTATTACAAGCACCGTACGGATACTGGTTCCTGTCAGCCTTATCACGGTCCTCCCTAGCTGTATCTGGGCATTAGAACAGACGGAGGCGATGCCCAACGCCAGCGGGCCAGCTGTGGGAATTAGCAAATCACCAACTCCCAAAAGGATAGGGAAGGAGACAAATGGTGATTTGGGGCTAATTCATGAAAATGGAGGTGTCAGTGGAAAAGAATAGTTAGCTCAGAAAGAGGCATTGGCAAAATATTTTTTTTATAATAAAGGTGACATAATCAGTGAGGAAGGAAGCATTAATTCATGATCTGCTAGTTATAATAAATAGTTCTGGTTCCCTATTTTGCAAAACAGAAACAGTTACCTCTTCATTTAATAATACATGCGAAAATAATTCCCAGGTATGTTATAATTAAATGTGATACCGTTAGTAGACAAAACGTACATATTGTATACTGTGTGTTGATCACTGCTCTGAGTGCTTTACATACAAAAGTGCTTTGGTCCTCACAACAAGCCTATGAGGTAGGCATGATTACTTCACTCTTTCACAAACAAGAAAAGATAGATGTTAAGTAACATTGTCCAAGGTCACACAGCTTATAAGTGTTCCAGCAACGATCTCAGACTTTCTACAAGCAAATTCCTAACCTTCCCCCTTAAAAACATATCCCATCCTCTATCATCTTCTTCTCAGAACATGATTTACTCAGAGTCATCTAGCTACTCAAGCCAAAAATCTTATGGCTATCCTGAATTCTTCTTACTCACGGCTTGCATACAAACATTTTGGAAATTTCCTCTGGTTCTAAGTTGGTCCATACCACATTCCCTGGTTTGTTTCAATAGGCTCCTCAGTGGTCTCCCTGCCTTCCCCCTTGCTTCGCCACAGTCTATTCCCAATGAAGCAACCAGAATAATCATTTGAAACACAAATCAGATCACATTACCTCTACCTGGAACTGCTCCTCCAATTAATCCCATAGCCAGGTCCCTAACATTCAGGTCTTTGATGTCTCCATATTACTGACACTTGTCTAAAACTGCAACCCACCATCACTGTCTGCTCCCACTGGCTCTTCTAATCCCCACACCCTGTCCTTTGAATCACTCTCAAATATTGTATGTAATTTACTTATTTAATATACTTAATACTTTTGGTTTGTCTTCCCTAAAGCAGAAGCTCTGCAAGAACAGGATCTCATCTGTTTTGTTCACAGACGTATACTAAGCACCTAGTACACTTAAGATAGACTCCATAAATATTTGTTGAATGAATGTTAAGATTGGGATTTCAGACATAGGTGCCATTACTCTATAGAATCCATAAAATTAATAACTAAGTAATTGTATAAGAAATGAAATTATTTTTTAATTTTTTAATGTTTATTTATTGTTGAGAAGGAGACAGAGTGCAAGCAGGGGAGGGGCAAAGAGAGAGGGAGACACAGAATCCCAATCAGGCTTCAGGCTCTAAGCTGTCAGTACAGAGCCCCACGTGTAGCTTAAACTCACCAAACATGAGATCATGACCTGAGCTGAAGTTGGATGCTTAACTGACTGAGCCACCCAGGCGCCCCTATAAGAAATGAAATGAAATTATGAAGGGGCACCTGGGTGGCTCAGTCAGTTGAGGACTTCAGCTTAGGTCATTATCTCGTGGTTCGTGGGTTCCAGCCCCACATCAGGATCGCTGCTGTGAGCCTATCAGCACAGAGCCTGCCTCAGATCTTCTGACTGCCTCTCTCTGCCCCTCCCCTGCTTGTGTAAAATTAAATAAATATTTCAAAAAAAGAATGAAATTGTTAAAACAAATGCTTAAAAAATTGGTGAACATAAAAGGGGGAAAGGCTTTAAAATATTAAAGTACTAAAATAAACTATTCAGGGAAAATGTGGTAGTTTAAAGTATATAAGAATTAAACCTTTTTTAAAACAAACAGCACTACCCAACATTTTAACAATAAATAAAAAATAAGCAATATCTACTGTAAATGTTATATTAATGTTCTTATTATATTAAGACCTTTTACAAATCAAATGGAGAAAACAGCAAAAAAAAAAAAAAACCCTACCAAGTATCGAACCCTACACGTATTGAAAAGTATATAAACTCACAAGAGAAGAAACAAATACAAAAGCATTAAAAAGTATATAAAAGTCACATTTTCTAATAATACAACTCATTAGACTGAGATGCCACTTTTCAAAAATAGCAAGTTAATAAAAATACAGAAAGAAGTGAGGGAAAAGAGAATTATGTATACCCTGTGTTAACAAGGGCTCAATAAAACATATGTAATATGTATCATGAGTTTTAAAATATTCTTGCACTTGGATGTGCTAGTTCTATTTCTAAGAATCTACTCGGAAGACAAAATGTGATGTTTAGACAAAAATGTGTGTGCAAAGTCTTTCCAACAAAGTCTTACAACAGGGGATAATACTATAAAAACAAACCACATTTACAAGACTTGAGAATAAAGTATTTCATAGAAATGTATACTGAATTATTAAGTAATTTTTAAAGAAAACTTAGTAACTTAGAAAATATTTTTAAAAATTTAAAGGCAGGTAAAAAGTTGTGTTGATAGCATGGTCCATGTGGATTAGATCAAAGCCTAGGTACAACTGATGGCAAACAAGGGATCCCAAAACTTGGAGCAGGAGCCACTATGAACAAGGCAAGGTGACAGACCTCAAGCCCTTTAGTGAGGGCCTTTGGGTAAGCCCTCATGCAGAACAGGGGGAAGTCCTGGTCCTACAGGTTGAAGATAGCTTACATGGGCTCCAAAGACGATGCTCACCTATTTCCCAAATTTGCCTAAGATAAGAAAAATCCATTATCATGTATCTGATGATAGCATCATTATATACAAAGTACCACCATATAAAATCATGATTGAGATACATGTGCAGAACTTCATTTTCCAAATACCTGCCTCTGTGATTGCCTCTGAGTCTGAGATATAGCTGCTCTGGAAAAAAAATGCTTCACACGCTACATATAAGCTTCTAAGTGGAAGTATAATTTCAGAAATTAAGTTGAAAGTTGAGTTTCTAATACAATTGAAATTCTAGTTCCATGATGTATTTAAGCTATGAACTGGCACTGGAGAGAATTATTTTACTGTTATCATTTCTTGGGTCACTTGTCTCTTGCTAATGTCAAAACAAGAATGCTTTCTTGTTTTTCTGACTAAGGTACTAAAAAGAAATTTCCAGTAAGCGTATAACATTTTCTTGTAAATTTCTTTGGCTTCGATGAATTGCATTTTAAGTGAATTGCATTTGCAGGTTTGTGGAATGATGCCAAATTTGTATTTTGAAAATGTAAACAAAAACCACAAACAAACCTTCCTTCTATTGCTGATGACTGTAGTATATGCAGTTCACTGTGTTGTTTAAATAGATTTCAAATAATTTCCCCATAATTGCTAATCATTTCAGTAGGAGGCATGAGGTTAGCAATCAATAATCACCTGAAACTGTTGAAAATGAAGTTCCGGGATCAATAGAACATTCTTCTTCCCATGGAAACACAGCCCATTCAGATGGCTTTCCTCACTGTTCTTTTCTGTTTTGTATTTATTGTAGACTCACAGGCACATTACTTATGGAAAAAACAAATTAAGGAAATAGACAAAATGTCACCAACACCATGGCAGAGATGGCATTTGTTATAAAAAACATATCCTAAGAGAGGCAGGAAGGGGTATACTATTTCGTACAGATGGTAAGATTGCAAAGTAAAGTTCTTAATTTCTAATCAATAGCTGTGTCTTCTCACTGGTCCACTTTCCTTTAAATATATTTTAAAATATATGTTAAAGACATATACTTATCCCAGTATGTGTAATTCTATTAGGGGTTTATTTTTAAAGACACACTCAAATAGAATATGCAGAATTTTGTTTATCTGGCCAAGATAAAACATTACATCAATAAATGTTAGCTTCACTTTTATTTTCTTAGGCACTAAAACATTTTAATTACTGATGATGAATAGGAAGATGAGTTATTCCTTGAAAAAATACAAAACTATTTACAGTTGCATTGTATAAAACAGACTTACTTTCATATATATTGCCCCCTCCCTTGTTAAATAGAAAGCAGACTTGTATTTATTGTAAAGTTCATTACCACGTCTACAGACAGATGTGTTCTCGAACATGTTATAAAAGCCATCATTTAACATTAAGAAAACTAAAAAAAAAAAAAATTGAAGATGCTAATGTATTTTTGTGTTTGAGAGTCAAAAGAGATTCAGGGAAGGAAGGGAATTTTTGTTGTTTGTTGTTGTTCCTGTCTTTGTTTTCTGGAGAGATCTTAAAGGAACCTGGTTTGCCTCAGTGTACTTTGGTATTTTTGGAGGGGGATAATCTAGCAGTAGTGCTCCTAAAAATTTAGGAGTCGGGTCTGAGCTTGAGATCAACCCAGGAGAAGAGTAGTAAACTAAAGAGAAATTTAGAAATAAGAAAAGTGATTTAAAAGAAAACCACAAAAGCAGCATGAACATGACACCTGTGGGTGATCTCTAGCGATATCCTCTTTACTCCTGTAAATCTTCCCAAAAAAAAACTCAACTCAGGTGACCTACAAAGGAAAGGAGGGGGGAAAAGGGATAACCAAGAAGGGAAATTTAATTTTGCGCCTTGGAGTCTGCCTGTGAGTGCCGGCTTGCCGCCTACCCCCGGCTCCCTTGGGGAATATTCCTCGGGAAGAAACTGGTGCTCCTCTCAGTCTGCCCAGCACCGACTCCCAGAAGGTGTCACATCGCGTGGTTGGGACGGGAAGAAAGCGTTGCCACTCATCTGTTGCACAGCCCGAGGATGGAGCAGGCAGCTGCTGAGATGAGGTCGGGGACCAACAGCTCGCCCCAGGGCTCTCGGAAAATAAAGGAAGTCCAGTAGAAACCGAGGGTCTCAAGGGGACAACCCTCAGCGAAGATTCCGCGCGGACGCCACTCTTGATCTGATCTTACAAATGGACTCTCGAGTCACAGGGCCGTGACCAACCAAGGCTCCGTGAGTCACAAGCTGGGAATCACCACGTCGCATTTACAGCAAGTAAGTTACTGCCAACTTCGCCAGTATATGGCATTTCCTCGCAGCGCTTTGGTCTTATTTTAGTGCGTGAACGCCAAAGAGATTGGCCAGGAGATAACTTACATCCTGAAACCTCAGTGCGCTGATGCGAGCATCACACACACACACACACACACACACACACACACACACACACGCTCACACTCTCTCCACCTGAAGCCACCGAACCTCGCGCTCCTGGGCTGGTACGTGTTTGGGGTTTTATTCAGTATTTGGAAACTTACTGATCTCCTATGCCTGTTGGAAAGCCCGAGCTGGGTGGGGGTGGATGCAACGCTGCGCCTCGTCATTTATTCCTTGCGACTGTCTGGATCGTTGACACTAGTCGCAAGCCGCATCCTCCTGCTCTTGCAGGGGAAGTCTGACACCTTGAGGACGGGAGTGGGGGTGCCGGGAGCCCAGAGGAGCCGGAGTGGGAGAAGCTTTGAGAGTTCCCGGGTGGGGGTGGGAGTGGGGGTTACTTTCCTCAAGTCTGGCGACCTGCCGCCGGGGTGCTGGTTTACCGGCTTGGGAGCCGAGCGTCCAGAAGCCGGGTCCTGGCGCGAATTGGAGTCCGGCAGCCCTGCAGAGCCCGCCCAAAGCCTGGAGGTGTGTCTGGCCCGCACCCAGGACCTCAGGCGGCTTCTGGCCACCGGCTTCTCTGGATGACGGCTGGCTTCTGGGGAGTCCGCCTGCCCTGGCTGACCTCAAGGAGTTGGCCCAGGGAGGCGGCGGTCGTTCGGGGGGCTTGGTGGGGGGGGGGGGTGGGCAGCGGAGCCGGGACCCAGCGTCAGCGCCCGCCCGCGCGCGGGTCCCCTCCACGGCCACACGGAGCGGTGCGTGGGACGCGCATCTTCACCGGCTGTCCCTACCGAGCAGGGTCTGTGCGGACCCTGAGTCAGGCAACCGCCCGGGACGGAGGGCGGGGTTATCTTCCTCGGGGCTCGTCCGCCGTCAGCCGTGGGAACGCTAACTTCGTCCCCAGGGATCGGTGGGGGCGGGGGTGGGCGAAGTTCTCCTCCCCTGGAGCTCACCTCCCCCTCCGGGGCCGCCCCTCCCCCGCCTCCCATGGCACCGCTCTCAGAGCATCCTCACTCCGCCCAGTTCGGTGCCAGCTGCGTGGGCTCTAGCTTCGTGCGTTTTCCTTGGAATGCTCCAAAACTCGGCAGCGACTAAGGAAATCCCATTGGATTTGGCCGGGCGTGCTCTCCCTGGGCATAGCACCCGCACCGCATGTCCTTGGATCGATCGCTCTTCAGCCAGAAGACTGCCAACTTTGCAGGTAAAGAGGGTGTCGCCTCAGAGCTCCATTTGACCGGAGCTGCACCTCTCCTCCTTTCTGGGATCTCAGTTAAGTTTCTCAAGCTGCCTGGGAAGCCGGCTCCCTCTTGGGAGGCGGACATCCCTGGGAGGGGGGTTATGAGTTCAAAAGGCTCCCGCTGCGTGGTTTCTCTTTAAGGCTCCAGACAGGGTTTGTGAAGCTTTCTGTGGTTGACCTGGGCTGAGCGGGAGTTTGGGGATGCTTCTCTGCCTCTCCCTGCACCCAGCTTTAAAGCAGGGGAGAAGACGAGGAGTGAACCCCTGATGTGACTTATATGGTAAACAAAGCGGCTGCAGCCACGCCATGGTGCTGGGGAGGAAGGCTGTTTTTAGCCTTTTATGCGTTTGGGGAAAATGGAGATCTTGGTGGCCCCTGGGCGTATAGAAGTGAGCCCTAGACTCGCTGGCACCCAAACTGGGGGGGATGTAGAAAGGAAAGTGATCAATATCCTGTCGATCAATTACACTCTGCGTCATTTTCATTCCCTATCAAGAAACAGAAACACTTTTACCAGTGTGGCTGGACCAAGGCTAAGGATTCCTATTTCGCTTGGCAACTGAAATTCCAATTAAGCCAATGACCCTGTTTGCCACTTGGGTAAATCACTGAGATTCGTAGCACAACTTGTTGTTCCAGCTGTGAACTCAGCTGCCTTTTGTGACTAGAAACTAGAGAATACTAGCAAGGGATGAAGGGTTTGGGAGAGACTGAAAGAAAGGAGCTCTGTCTGTATTCACTATGTTGCATCCACTATGATGCATCCTTGTTCACATGGTTTCTTAGGGAGACCCTTCCCAGTTAAATTCCACAGCTATAAATGCAGCAGGTTGCTTACTGCTTACTGAGTAAGCACCAAGCCAAAGGAGTGGGAGGAGGCAGAGCAAGGCTTACTTTTTTTTATTAAAAATAAATTTAGGACAGACTTGTAAACTGAAAAAAAAAATCTTTCTGGTCTCATAATTTCTGGCCTTTCGATCATAGTAATCACAACAGAACATACTACAAATTCTTTAAGAAAAATGGTTAACCAGAGGGTTTTTTAAAAAATAAATAAAACTGTGAGTTAGACAATGAGAGTAAGAAAGTGTGGGTGGATATGTTAAAACACTGAAAGCAACATCTCTGTGTTATGGTTTGCTGTTTAAACTGACATTGCAATACCTACTTCTATTCACCTGGACAGCATACCAGGAAACGTTTCCCCTTAAGTATTTATGACAAAGATTCAAGATACAGGGATAACTAATACTTAGATATTAGAATCAAAATTCAGGTAAGACATTGTTAAAGAAGCACTTTAAAAACTATATTTGTGAATTAATGCAGTTAAGGCAAATGAGCACATCAGTTAAATGCACTTTATCAAAGTATTTTATGCAGATGATTTGTATTAATAAAGGTTAGTGCAGGTAGAAAAAAAGAAAGCACGTACATTGCCTATGAATAAGAAACCATAGACGTGGAGAGTCTTTCAATAGAGCTCTGATCAGAGCTCAGCTCTTCTGCCAAACTTGCTGTTGTGGAGTGAAGAGCTGAAAGCTTTATGCCAAGAAAGTTACCTTCAAAGAGAAACGCTAACAGGTTGATGAGACTGGTACATAACAGGTGCTTAGTATTGGAGTGAATAAATATAATAAATATATCATTACATCAATAGATAGTTCAAGTAAGGCAGGGTGAGATTTGTAATTGCAGATTAGGAAAGTTCTTCCTCTTAAGAACTTAAAGACACACGAGCATTCATCAAAGCAGAAAGTAAGCTCTACAGAAGAAACATCTCTTTAGTAAAACCTTTTGAATGTTAACAATGTTTCTAAAAATCTCTGAGTTTGAAAAATAAGTTTTCATTTACTTGCTTAATGGTTGTTCTCAAGGATTTATAAAAGGTAAATTAGATTTCCATTATTTATAAGTTTTACAATTTTGTAATTTTTATGTTTTATTTTTCTGTTGAAGTTATTCCCAGAAGGTCAGATTAAAATGCACAGAAAAAACTAAGCGAAAATTAAAGTTCTACATGAATTTTATGGCCACTTTGATTATTGAAATGGTAAGAGACCAAACAACTTTCCGTATAAGATAACCTTAATTAACTCATACCTTACATAAATAGGAAATATCAAAAACATTTCTATTATTCTTTCTGATTAGGAAAAATTCAAATATCTTGTATATCTTGTCCTGGACACACATTTTAAACTTTTAAACTTAAAGCCTATTATAAGCATGATAAATTTCTATTGAAGTATAATCATAGCCTTTAGAATATGCTGATTAACCCCACCGCGTTAAAAATATTTTTATAAATATGTTGTTGAGAATACTGGCATATTTTTATAACTGCATGTTTAACCGCCAGGATACTTTGTGGCAATTCAGATTATCAACATTACATTTAGCAGCTAAAAACTGAAATATTCTATCTTTTCTAATTAATTCATATTTTGTAACAAAAGTGAAGATATGCACACATTTGTTCAGTAGTTAAAATTGTGAATATCAGTGCTCAAAGACATAAAAGATTTTGTAAATGAGGATAGATATACAAAAATTGCTGAACAGTATAGCTAGGACAGTAAAACTGTGGACTGAGTATTTTCTTAGGAAACGCTGAGTCTTTCACTTTTTCAGACAAGCTAGATGATGAGAAATATAATAAACGATTGCATTTTTCTTTCCCAAAATCATTATTGCCAAACGTTTTATGAGATTGGATTCTAATGTGCATCCTTACTTTCTGCACTGTATTGTCTAGAGTAAATTGAAGCCAATGCTCTTTGCTTTCTTAATATCTATGGAAAACCTTCCATAAACATATTAGTTGTCATTGAAAATGAGATTGAGGAGACAGCTCAAAATGAAAACCTTGTGTTTTCACCTAACTTGTGCCCATCACTTCCCCACCCCAAATTCACATTAAAACTGGTGAGTTCAACCCTGCTTCCGGTGGCCAGTTGCTTCTTTCTAGTGGTGATGAAAGATTGCTTCAGAACTCTTTCCTGTCCTTATGATTTTGACTTCTAATCCTCCCAGATGCAGTGAGATCTCACTATGTTGAGAGATTTGAGAATATTTTGATCAGGGATATAATATCATGGCTCTATCTTTTTAATCAGCACAAATATAGACCTGATCCCTGTGAACATTAGTACTGCCAAAACCACTCTATGATGAAAAAATACATTTAGAAAAAGAAGCCATTCGTTGGCAAAAATGAAAATTAAACACACACGCTTTGAAAATGTACCAATTTAAAACTACGTTGTTCTCCAAACTCTCTGGGAAATGAAGTGATCTGTTTAAAATTTTTAAAAATCTCAGTGATTCTTCTGAAAGTTCAGTTTCATTTAAATAGGATACGAAAAAAGAGATAACTGTTTCAGTACTTGATCTGCTCTTGTAACTAAACTATAGATGACATCCCATTAATATTAGGGTATGTTTTGTCTCCTTTTAAAACATGTTTCCTTTGAAAATACAGCAGTGTCATAGAGTAATGGCTTCTTGAGGAGCTGACGATGACACATGGGCAAACTTTTACACATACAATTAGAAATGTTAATTAAAACGTTACTTTAAAAATATGCCTGGATAGCTTTATCTAGCACACTGCATTCTTTTGGAGAAATGACAAGTGCAATGAAATAAATCAGATATGCAT